TTATTGACATTAGAGTTTTGACACTCCCTTAGCTCCCTTACAAAAACTTGTCACACATACACGAACCCACACACAATGCTTTGCTTTAAGCGCCACGGTGACAATCAAATATTTTTATCAACGCTTTAATTGTATTGGTGCCGTCGGCTTTTGTCGGCTTCACGTACACTACACCGACTCGTTGTCGGTTATGCTTGATGAAAATAAAAAAATTTTGATATTTCAATTTGATGACTGTTTATTTGATCGTCTCCATTTATGCTTGACAAAAAAAAGCTCATTTGCGTTGTCANATATTGGTTTTTTACAGCCCGATTCTGTGTACTTGATAAATTTAAAATCTTTATAGCGCCACGGTGACAATCAAATATTTTTATCAACGCTTTAATTGTATTGGTGTCGTCGGCTTTTGTCGGCTTCACGTACACTACACCGACTCGTTGTCGGTTATGCTTGATGAAAATCAAAAAATTTTGATATTTCAATTTGATGACTGTTTATTTGATCGTCTCCATTTATGCTTGACAAAAAAAAGCTCATTTGCGTTGTCAAATCAAAAATGGATAAGTGCGCGGACGAAAAAAAATTTATATTGCGATTCATTGAGAATTATGAATGTTTGGAAGCTTTATGGAACATAAAACTTGAAGCCTATACTAATCGTGAGGAAAAAAGAAAACAATATGAGATACCCTTGGATATTTATAAGGAGCAGTACCCCAACGCAACTGTGGAGGACGTGAAAAGAAAGATAAATGTTTTGCGTACTAATTTTCGTCGTGAAAAACAAAGATTGGCCGAATGCAGCAAAAGTGGAGCTGGTGCTGACGATTCGCTCGAACCTAATTTGTTTTACTTTAATGAAATGCAATTTCTTACCGACGTTGAGACGCCCTGCACATCAAAGAGTACAACGGTAAGTAAAATACGTTAAAAATATTTGTGTTGGTTTAATTTTATTTTGAATGTGGACTTGTTTACACGCATAAACTTATGTATACTTTGTTTGCCAAGAAACTGACCCCTCGTTACCAAAATATTCTGCAAAAGCGTCGCGAATTTCCTTTGCTCTATTTGAAGAATTTCGAATTTTCGTACATTCTAATGCATTAAGATTTATGTCTTTGCGCCATGTTCCTTTAACTAAATCGCCTGAGTCGGTAGTTTCGTTGTCAATTAAATCTCTGAATGTGTAAGTTTTCTTTTTGCGTAAAAAATCATGTAGATAACAACAAGCCAAAACAATGGTTTGTGCTTTTTCTGGAGCGACGGCAATGGTGGTTTGTAGAACACCAAATCTCGATGCTAATATTCCGAACACATTTTCCACAATTCTTCGCGCTCTACTCAACCTGTAGTTAAAAATGCGTTCCTTGGTTGTGAGATTGGTGGCAGAATAAGGTTTCAAAAGATTTTCCTGCATTTGAAACGCATTATCTGCAACAAAAACGTATGGCAAAACTCTATTGCTATTTGGTAGTAGTGATGGTGCAGGCATTGGTAACGATTTGCTGTAAAGCGCCTTCCCGAAATCAGTGTTTTTTAAAACTCCACCATCAGAAATTCGCCCATTCGCACAGTGCCGCGACTCCATACAAATGATGGACAAAAATAGAAGGA